GCTAGATGCTGATTATAAAAAATAAACAGTCATGTAAAAAATATGAAAATATGAAAATAAAATTTATTGTCACAAACTTATAAATACTACTTGTATTTTGAATTAAAAGTTAAATAGCCAACTAAACATGATAACCACAAATATCAGCATAAGGCAGTTCACAACTCCTCAAAGTAGAGGATCTATTATAATTCTGTTGTTCTGCTTAAAAAGGTGCTCAAAAATTTATACCGACCCAAACGCCTTACAAATCGCAAAGCAATGTTCAGAGGATCGACATTTAGTACAAACTGAAAGACAATAATGGCTATATTGAGTTTTAGTTTTTTTCCCAACAATTTTTCAAACATAACTTAGATATTGACATCCTGGGACATATGAAGATGAGATGAATCATTAGCAACATACCCAACCACCAACTCCAGTTGAAGGTATAATATTTATCTAGTGGCAGAAACGCTCTACCACCAGAATAAAGAAAAGACTTGGAACTTCGTCATTTCATTAGGTCAACTAATATCCAGATATTTTGAAAGAGAAAAAGATAAGTGAAGCATACCCTCTGGCAATTCCATTTGAATTTCCAAAAGTGCCATTAGCAGCTGGAGGGGCAGCAGGGGTTGCGACATTTGTTCCCACAATCTCAATCTTCATTGGTTTCCCATCAAGCTGGACATTGTTGTATCGCTTGACAGCATTAACAGCATCTGTTCGCCGTGAGAAGACTACTTCGGCCGTTCCCTAAGAAAAAGAGTTGTTTTTCTAAACTACAGCAGGACACAAAGAATTCATCAGAAGGACCAGTTTATGCCAAACTCGATTAGATACCTTCGATCGCCCACTTCTATCGTAATGGACTGCATAACGCTTCAAGTCACCAACTTCAGAAAACAGTTCCTACACATAGATAACCCCATATGAGATGAAAAACAGCAGCATGCAAATTGGCATAAAAGCTTTCTTTCTGCAGTCTGTGCTACAATAGTATTGAATCAAATGTAAACAATGCAAAAACCTGACAACTCTTTAGCATTCACAAAGATTTCTAACTCAAATGATTACATAGCAAAGTCACAAAATCTAATTAGTCCTCCTCTGCCCTTCCTCCCCGCGGTCTCCCTATTCCCTCTGACCCATTGAAGCAAACACAGACAGAACCAAGAAGAGGCAATACATTAAATGGTTGAATTTTGAGATTAACAATCCAACTAACGGTAGTCTAATGCTGCAACTTGAAATTTACTTTGCATCTCAAGAACCGAACTTCACAAATACACTTCTTTCAATAAATTTAACATATTTCCAAGTGATCCCAGACAACCAGATAAAAATCTCAAAATATACTTTTCTCCAAAAAAAATCCCGAAACACACATCAATCACAAGTCAAGAACTGATTTAAGCACTTGAATCCTTACAAAAGGAAAACAATCATGCTAATTGAAATAGTAGCTCGGACCTTAATGTCCTCGTTTGACACTCCATATTCCAAATTAGATATGTAGAGCTTCGTTCCGGTTTCTATCGCGGACGCCCGACCCCCTTGTGCCGGGAACCCCATACCCTGATCCGTATACATATCGTGCTGCCAAGTCGTCTCTGGCGCCTGTAACCGCCGAAAAAAAGTAATTTTCTCAGCACGAGAAAGCTAGGTACAGTTGAAAAGCAAACAAAAAGAGCTAATACAATAATAGATCTTGAGAGAAATCGAAAAGAGGAAAAGAACGGTTTACCTTGGGAGCAGTATACGGCGTAGCCCGATTGGCGGCACGATTGGGGAAGCGTCGAGCGGGTCCCGGTCCGGATCCACGAATACGGCCCCTTGCGTTGCCGGATCCAGACTTTCTGTTTCTCTCTATCATATCATCAAGAGACATGTCTAAACCACTAGCCATTCTTCTACTTGTTTAAATGAAAACTCAACAAAAACAGAAGAAAAATTGAAACTAAAACAAAAAAAGGAACTGATTGATCTGGAGAAGAGAAACCAAAAAGGACGGAGAGAGAGGAGGAGATAGGGTTTGGACGAGGAGGAGAAGAAGAGAGGAATTGACGGAGAGAGAGAAAAGAACTATTAAAGGCCGCCTTTGAAAAGGCGTGGTTGTATCCTGATATATAATAAATTGTAGAGGAAACTATAAACAAGGTGTCGTGGTGTAGTTGGTTATCACGTCAGTCTAACACACTGAAGGTCTCCGGTTCGAGTCCGGGCGACGCCATTTAGTTGTTTTTCCATTTTTCCTATTTTAGAAATTTTATGAATTCTGTTAATTTCCAGTGGATCATTAATTTACAACAAATGAAAAAACGAAGGGCCCAACCGGTGACCTCTTGCCAAACTGAAAATACAATCTTTTAAATAGTGTTAGCTCGTTGCAGTTATACTTGTGCGCAGAGAAAACCCCGTATTTATATAATTTTTTAATTATTTTTGTTTTAAACAGACCAACTGCAGATTAATAACATTTGTAGCGAAAGAAATTAAGAATCTCACTTCATGGAGCGGTTAGTCTCATGATTTTAACTTTTTCCATTGCTCAGTTATAAAGGATCACCCAATCCAAGAGAAACAGATCAACTAAAAATTTGCCACGAAATTAGAACGCACATGCTAGATTAAAATGTATTTTCCTTAAAAATCCAACATACACCATCTTCTCTGAACATCAGAAAAAACCAAACCCCATGCATATCCAACCTGTTTTTAGAAAAAAAAAAAAAAACATATAATAATCTAAAAAACAAAAACTTTAAATCGTTTTTCAACAACTAACTTCCTCCTACTCTCTCAGCCTCCATGGTGGGAGAACATGATCGAATAACGCAAGCAGAAGCAGCCACAAGGAGCGCTGCGAGTACAGTAGGCACAAAGAAATCGAAGCCAGACCTCCTCACCATGTGAGCAGGCAGGCAGAGTGTCTCCCCAGGAAATTCCAAAGGGATCCTAGCAAAATCATCGGCACAAGACAATGATCCCGGAAACAGTGAGGGAGATATCGACGATATGAAGGCAATCTCGGGAGCAAAAGATGCCACCGCAACTGTTAACATTAACAAAGTGGTCCACAGTGCAACATGGAGTGGTAGAGCATGGCAATGGACCATGACTTGGCCGAGAGTTGAATGAAGAAAAGAAGGAATAGACATGGTGATTGGTGTTAAGGGTGTGTAAGGTTCTGTGAGAGAAAGAAAGGTAGAGATACGTGATCTGAAACTGATAATTTAAATGGTGGGTTTTATCCTTCCAAATGCTCTTCTGAAAGGAAATAGAGGGGCAGGGAGGAGAGCAAACACATGCCTAATAAACAAACATCTGCTCATGAGAATATTGCAATGACTAAATTACCCTTCCCCGAGTTGTCATACGACACAAACTTATTTACATGACATCATGTGAACCCGCTTGATATAATAATAACACAACCCATTATTATCAGAAGTATTTAAAACACAACGAAAATTAATCTGCTTAAAAAAGACAAACATTTACAAACCCATTTCCCACCTCTAAATCATACCAAGCATATGGAAACAAGGAAATTCCATTAATAACCAAACAGGAACGTATACATACGTACATACATAATGTTAAATGGGAGTGCTGCAAACTAGTCAGCTCCCTAATGATGATGAAAGCGCCATGTATCTTAAAAGTGGTTTCACCAAATTGGTAATTGTGGCTTCAAAGCAAATGCTAGTCGATAAACAACCCCATTCATCAGTTTTATGGTTGTTTCTAAAATTCATTTATTCTTAGTGGAGTAGTTAAGTCTCCACATATTCGAAAGAGTGGATAATCACTTAAATAGTTAGGCTCCAAAAGCAAAGCAAAATACATTCGAAGTCGAGTCTTCATACCCCGAGAGAGGTGAGAGTGAATCCTTTCATGTCTAATGAGTTTCCAACACCCTGCCCTCGTGCCAAAAGTCGGAAGAGCAACAAACACAACAATTTCGATGAGGTAGTTAAGAGAAATTAACATCACTGTTAAATTCCAAAAGAACTAAAACCACAAAGAACGTTAGAGGCAAATCTGCATAATGCATAATTTCGACATAATAGTAAGAAAGTCAATACTAAAAATCAATGTCACAAAACGTTTTGGATTATGGAGGGGCAATATAGAGCACTGAGCTTGGCTTCTGGAAAAAAAGAAAACATGGGAGAGAACCAGAAAAGGGGAAATCAAAAAGAGGTTGGTGGTAAGAAATACCTTATTGCTTAGTCCCACTAACCCCCTGCTTAATTATGGACATCTCATACTTCGACTGAACGAACGATTCCAACCAACACTTGAAAAGTAGGCAACAAAATTGTCAAGAATGGGATTCGAACCCATGCCCTTTCGGACCAGTACCTGAAACTGGCGCCTTAGACCAACTCGGCCATCTTGACTTTCAGTTCTGAATTCGTTACTGAAATGTTGTAGACGATGAAAACCTCCCAACTCTGCTTTTAATTTTCAGGACACGAATTCAAACCTCCACCTTGATAATTAGGATTTGAAATCCCATCATCAAAGGATTCAAAATCACAACAACCTATGATTTGTTATTCATATTATAACTAAAATGATAATTAGATGAAGACTAACCGAAAACATCTTTACACGCATTTTCAATTTCTTTTTATCGAAAATAAAGATAAGGAGTTCACCATTGAGGCCATTCACAAGGAGTACAAAGTGCATAATGTATTTGTGCATAACCTGGAAAGGGTCCTACAATAACTCAAACTCTTACTGCATAAATCATAATATTTATATCAAGACCCTCACAAATGATATTATATATAGGCAGTAGAAGTAAATACACATAAGAAATTTCATAGTAAAAAACAGACAATTCTAAAATGACATACCTTCTTTAGCTTTTGCTTTATTTGCTCATAAAGATAATACAACTTTCTTTATATTTACCCAGTGTTTTGGGTGCTTCTGATTTTTTATATTTACACAATGAAGTTTATTCTAGAGTGAGTTTAAGACACATGGGATGGGGATGTAGCTCAGATGGTAGAGCGCTCGCTTAGCATGCGAGAGGCACGGGGATCGATACCCCGCATCTCCAATTAAACATGTTTTTGAAGATATTTTTATGTCAAATCACAAAGAGCAGATCATGGGGTATTGAAATGTCACTGAAAATGCAAGAATTTTAAGTTGTAATAAAGCCAACATGCAATGGGGATGTAGCTCAGATGGTAGAGCGCTCGCTTAGCATGCGAGAGGTACGGGGATCGATACCCCGCATCTCCAATCATACATGTTTTTGAAGATATTTTTATGTCAAATCACAAAGAGCAGATCATGGGGTATTGAAATGTCACTGAAAATGCAAGAATTTTGAGTTGTAATAAAGCCAACATGCAATGGGGATGTAGCTCAGATGGTAGAGCGCTCGCTTAGCATGCGAGAGGCACGGGGATCGATACCCCGCATCTCCAATCATACATGTTTTTGAAGATCTTCTCAAACGAAAAAAAAAAAAACATCTAAAAACTTGAATTTTTATGTAAAATCACAAAAAACAGACCATGATATTATTTATCATTTTCTTGCATTTTCTGTGAGATTTGTAAACCCATTTCAACAAGGGAATAAAATGGTAACAAATTGGAGATACTTGGCATTGATAGATAAGCAAACAAGATAAAAGTAAATGTCAGGAATCATATGAGGTAAAAAAAAAAAGTAAAAAAGAATAACCAGACCAGCATATGATGGCCAAAATGCTCCATTGCAGAGTCCGAAATGTTGATTTGATCCCATTCTTGCGCCTTCAAATTCATGATTGTAAAATCAGTTCAGAAAAAATTAACATTTTACTACCAGTAATACATGCAAGTAGTTAAATGAAATCTTTTTTAAAAATTAAATAAAAACGAAGTCAATAGTCATTAACGAGGGAAATACTTGCTTCCAAGAGAACAATACTTTCAGTGTGCAAAACAGAGCATTCCTCAATGCTACGTTGCAAAAACAAATACTATAACTCCTTATGGTCAGACAATTGAATGGCCTAATAAGTCAGCTTATGCCTAAGTCACATATACAAACAGTCCATATTTGGCCAAGCTTCCTAAAGATTACAAGTGACCATATCTATTGACACAAATGTCCACCAAGACTATGATTCAATCTAGCTATAATTCAATCTGAACCCTTTTAACCAAACAAAAGCACTAAAACATGGGCCAGACAAGGATAGAAAAGCATACCATGTGCAGAACAAAAGAAGGACAGAAAAGAAATATCAAGAATTGAGATATATCAAACTGAGAATATTTCCAACATAAAAAATTCCAACTGCAGTCCAAATCATAAATCTCCTAGAGAGACTAATTAAACATGACATGCTACAGAATGGAAAAAAAAAAAGACAAGGTGAAGTACTCGCATTGTAGCTGTATAGTTCACCTGCTACTAATTAGCATTGCTCAAAAACGACCAGATGGCCTGCCCCTAAATCTCAATCTTTGCTAATCCTCATAATTGCTGTTTTGAGCAAAAGGCTTACTCTCCAGAAACATGCAAATGACCTGTCATAAGTCATGATAGAATAGTGTGAGTTTATCTTGCCAACACAATTTGGCTCAAGTAGGAAATAGACTGTTGTAAAGAAAACTATTTTTTGCTAGTCTGCAATTTCCAGAACCACAAATTAAGATACAACCATCATCAAAGATGTCATGATATACTTTTGTTAATTAAATACAATAGCAGGTAGCATAATAATTATCAAGAAATTGCCATTAAGGCTTTCCATAAGGAGTGTGGTTTTCCTTTTCTTTAGTAAGAATATAAGAAGAGTATAAAGTATGCCTTTTCACAAATTATCCAAAAGTACCTAAAAAGGCTGCAAATTTCTAGATTTATATCAACAACCTCAAGGATGCCATCAGAGCAACTCAATTCATTAGGTGATAAAATTATTCACATAAATATTTGACCAAACTGAAAAATCAAAGTTGTGTTTAGTTCCATTCATATAGAAGTCCTAGGCCTAATGCCTTATAGTTTTCTTACCAACAACTGGAATACAACTTGTTCCTCTTTAATTACCCGCTACCTTCATTTTGAATTTTTTAACAGTAGAATTCACTTCCTACCTTTCAAGGTGGGAGTTGAATTCCTACCATCTACAAATCTAAACTGGAGGGAGAGTGATGAAAACTAAAAAAAACCAAATTTTATTCCAATTATACATATTAAACTAACATGAAAAAACTGAACAATTGAACCTAAGAATTGATAAGGAACTAAATGAGAATTGGACCAAATACAGCTCGACAGTTAAGGTGAAAAATGATGTACGAACAACTGCATCTTCCAGACATCCTATTCTTATGTGAATTGAACACCAGTAGACCACACATCTTCATAATTCGTCTGTCCATAGTCTAGGTGCACAACCAGCAGAACTAATTAGATGAGTCCAATGTCCTATTTTGAAATATCTGAACCCTTGGGTAAAGTTCACATGGGAACTGTATAGTTCACATGCCATAAACGATGACAATTTTCCAAAACAAAAAAATGAATCGGATAGACTGCTACTCATTCTCATTAGTGCAGTTTTGAGCAAAGGGCTTACTCTCCAGCAGTATGCACTAACCTGCAACGATTGGCTGAAGTAAAGAACATCCACTATCATGACAAAGCTCTACTAATGCAGAACGGATTAGCTCTAAATTGCCTAAATAAATTAAGAACTATAATTTTAATAAATATTTTTATTAGATAAGTAATTTTACTAAATATAAAACTGGTATACAATTTAGAAGTCTATCATTACAGGTTTAGTAACTTTAGGATTTTACTACTATTCGTATTTAGTTCATATTTATATTAGCAATATTATTTCCTACTTCTATTAATATTACTATTTCTTAGTTTCATCATGTTCAGTAAAACTTAGGAAGTACTATAAATGTCTTTGTAATTTTCATTTCTGAGACACACTTACAGTTAGTTAATAAAATATGAAATTTATTAATTTTCTGGTTGTGTGATGCATTCAAATCTTTAAGTACAATCTCTTAAGAAATCTTAGGTATAATATTTAAATTTTTACCCTTAAATCCCCGAGTAGGTAAATTAACCTTAATTTGTCATACATCATCTGTTGTTCACTAGACCACCATTTGCAGATCACATCTTAAAAGAAATGAAAGATATATTTCATTAATTAAATAATGATATAACATACAAAAGTAATGATCAAAACTTGCCATTGAGGTCACTCATAAGGATTGCAGTTTTCTTTAATATGCAAGAATACAAAAAGTGCATAAAGTAGGTATTTTATGCATAAAATAGCAATGAACCTAAAGTACTTCGAAGGCTTCAACTCTTCATTTCTATCAAGAACCTGACAGATTATATTGCAGAGTCAATATGTGAAAGTATAACCATAAAAATTTTCATCAACCATTGTATGCCGGTGCTCAAGTGAAAACAGACAATACAAATATATGATGTCGCCCACATTAGAATCTCTTCTCTAGCTTTTGCTTCATAAACTCACACATGTTGAAAATAAATAATATAACACAGATCATGATAAAGAAATACAAACTAACAAAAAATTCAGTGCCAATCCCTCACCATTGAGAAGGAAATGTGCATGTTCCACGAGTTTCCAGGAAAACCAACTTTAACAAGGAAAGAAAAGCATAACAAATTTGTTGTGCTTGAAGCACCTTCACTCATTCAATTATTTAACAGCTGGAGTTCAAAACCTACTTTCAAATTAGGAGTTGAATTTCCACTATTGAGGAAAAAATTCAAGACGTTGGTGTTGATAAATTAAATGCAATAAATTATTTTTTGATTGTGTATTAGAACTAATATGAGGATTAGAACTAGATATTAACTAAGAATTGAATTAAACACAGCATATAAGTATATGATATTTATATGAGGTAAAAAGTAAAAGATTAACCAAACCTGTGCATGATGGACTAAATGCTCACTTGCAGAGCTGTAAACATGTGGTTTTGAACCTACTTTAGCACTGTCAATACATGATTGCAAAATTAGTATTAAAATTTAACATTTACAAATACTAGTACATGTAGATAGAAATAAACTATCTCAATAGTCATTAACCAGGATATGCTTACCTAGAAGAGAATACCTTCTGTCTGCAAAACAGCGCACTCTTCTAAGCCGCTTTCCGTAAGCCAAGTACTATAACAGCTTTGTCAGACAAATAAAAGACCTTAAAGGAAATCAGCTTATGCCTAAGTCACAGTAGAAACAGTTCGCACTTAGCAAACCTGTGCGCCATTGCTTATACTTTTTATACTAGAATTTCACACGTTCCATCTAGAGAGGCTTTTCAAATCCACTTCTAATGGCACTAACCAGTACATATACTTTAACACATAGATGTCCAAGTATTGCATATACAATTTTCAAACACACGTGACTCATCATCATTCAAACATCCAACTGAAAATCACTTTCTGATACTTGTCAGTTTTGTTCACTTATTGAAAAACTATTATAAAACATATGATTCAATTAAGCTATAACATTACCCTGAACCCATTTAACCAAACAAGAGCACTTGCATACGTGCTAGAAATATGGTTATTTAGCCATTTAGCCAAACAAGGAATGAAATACACCCCACAAGGAAAAAGGAAGACTAAAAAGAACTATCAGGAATTCACAAAGTTGGAACATTTCAAATACACAAAATTCCCAAAGAAATTCAAGTCCAGAGTCTATCTAAAAATTACTGATTAACCATGACATGCTACAGAAAGAAGGAAAAACATAAGGTAAATAACTTATATGGGAGCCATATAGTTCACCTACTACCAGCATTGTTAACGAAAAAGAATCAAGTGAACTGCTCCAAATACTCCTAAGTCATAGCTGCAGCCCTGAGCAAAATTGCCGACTATGTCATGATGCAGTTAGTGCGACTTCACCTTCCCAATTAAATTAGCTAACATAAAAAATACACAACTGTAAACCCTATTCATTGCTAGACCACCATTTCCAGAGTATAATCTAATTCAACTCCATCAATCTGAACCAATGTGACCACACGCAAGACGGAAAGGAAGTGCAAGAAAAATAAAAGGTTTATAAGACACATCAAGAAACCAAAATAATACAAAAAGAAATTAAACCAGTATTCATTTTGAACTAAAATCCATCAAACAATACCATTAAACATGGATTGGGAGTTTAACAGCTGATATCAAGATTTCAGAAATACCATTGTCGAATAAATACAGTAGAGGAGATTACACACGCTACCAAATAATTAGAAGCAAAACAAACTATTGAACAGAATTTACAGAACATTACATAAATAAGATTATCATACTGCAGAAGAAGTGATAAACTGATTATCTAACGCGATGAAAACAAAGATATTAACGACTATGGAGGCTATAAGAGTGGAAACGGAGAAACAAAAATACCAAATTTCATTTCAGCCATTAACAAAAAGTAAAAATACCTGGTACTTACAACCGGATATCTAACTACATCACGTACCAAAGGAAATTAGAGAGTCTAACTATAAAATCATACACCAACATAAAACCCCAGCATTTATCAACCGGCAATTCTTCACAAAATCACAAGTACAAGTTCCCAACCACAAAAGGCATAACCCTATATTCAAGAGCTAGTAAACTTAGTCACAGCCTTAGTTCCCTCGGAGACGGCGTGCTTAGCTAACTCTCCGGGAAGTACAAGTCTTACAGCGGTCTGAATTTCCCTAGATGTGATAGTCGGCTTCTTGTTGTACCTCGCGAGTCTTGAGGCTTCCTGAGCAAGCTTCTCGAATATATCGTTGATGAAACTGTTCATGATTCCCATAGCCTTGCTCGAGATTCCGATGTCAGGGTGCACCTGCTTGAGGACCTTAAAGATGTAGATCTTGTAGGTCTCAGTGCTCTTCTTGGTCCTCTTCTTCTTCTTATCACCGCTGGCGCCGGCTTCTTTTGGAAGCTTCTTGCCGGCCTTTGGCTTCTTCTCCGCCGGAGCTTTCTCAGCCACCGCCTTCTTCTCCTCTGTTGGCTTCTCGGAGGCAGGCTTCTTTTCCGCGGGCTTCTTTTCTGCCTTGGGAGCCATTGAAGCTTCACCGACTTTCTTGAAATAAGATTTAGCTTGGAAGGCGAATCAAGAGAAACAAGCGATAGATTATTGTTCGCTCGATATGATGAAACGTTCTGTGTTGGTTTGATATTTATATACCCTGGCGATTGAGTTTTGATTGGACGATATGAAGAGACGCGGATTGATTACGTGTCAGTATTGTAATCGTTGGATTGTCTTACATATCGACGGCTTAATAGAATGCGTGATACTTCACTTAATGCCACGTGGTTTTCTATTATTGGTTAAACGTTTAGATTTGGATTGATGACCTGGCGTAAGCGCGGGCTCTCGCGTTTAGACGATTTTTGGAACTACGGAAATGCCCGGTGAGTGAAATTCCTTCCCTCCAAATTCTCAATTTTCTTTTTTATTATTTTGTTTACATTAATTTATTAAAAATATTATTTTTATTGAATCTTAAACAAAAAAAAAGCTTATTTATGATTAAAAAAAAACATATCCATCAATAACTTATTTATTAAAAATATTCATAAGAAACAAATAATTCAACTAAAAAATCACGGCGGTAAAAAGTAAAAAAGTAAAAAACGTCATATTTACTATAATTGAATTAAGGTTTTATTTTACGATTGAAATTAGTGGAAAAAATAAAATTATAACTCATAGTTGATGTCATCAATTTTTGTTACTGTTTTACTTATAACCGCAAGTTTTATTTATGATTTTATAATTATAATTTAAAATTTTAAAAATCAAATAATATGGATTTAATTTTAAAATATGATACATAGTTCTATTGATTAAACCAAATTTATCGTGTAATATTATATGTATTTTTTAAAGAAAATCAATAAAAATGTAATACCCAAAATTAAATTTGTAATATTTAAATTTATGTATAAAATTTAATTTTTAATTTTATAAATTATTATTTAATATAAAATTAGGAAGAAAATATTTGGATGATGAAATTGAAAATAATTTTATAAGAAATGAGTAAAAATTTAAGTTTTATGGTATTTTTGAAATAAAAATCGAAAATTGAGAATTAAAACGCAATTTTAAAAAAATGCGTCACGTAGGATGCTCAGTCAGTAGCCTCGACAAACCATAGCACAGCTTGTGGTAAGCACGCTGACGAGTGCTATGCAGGAGGTTACACTGGCGATCCGTGTGCCTGCGATCGCACGGTCCAAATTCATTCCCGCACGCGTTGGCAGTTTGGATCTGTCATCATCCAGATGTGATTTGACGATTCAGATCAAACCACGATGATTGTAATCACCGTTCGTTTTTCTACACGTTGACCGAAACAAAACACCAAATTGCAAATGTGAGCCGGTGAAGCTGTCGTACCGGAAAACTCTGCCATCGATAAGTTTTAATTTTTCGAATTTTTTCGGCCAACCGAGACTCCTTGACGTGTTTTCTCGTAGGGGATGGTATAAAATCGGTCAAAAATTGACCGAAACTGGCCAAAAACGGCCAACTCGAGGCAAATCGCCGCCGCAGGTGGCGGTGCTATCGTCGGAGCACAGCGGAGCCGTTGTGCCGAAATTCTAGAACTAGCTAAAAAGGGTTTCTAACACTGATTTTTTATTTTTTTTAGGTATTTTTAGCTACTTGAAGTGCGTTTTATTCCCCGAATAAAAATTTAGGAAACTTAAGAACCGCCAATATACGCGACTGAAAGTTTAGCATCTCATATATCAATTTGCATAAAAATTCCTCATCTCATTCCCGATTATTGAATTAAAGTTTAATTATGAATAATATAATATTTTGCGTAATTTAAAAATATTGATAATTAAATATTACTAATAGAGACGGAACCGGCTATTTATTACTGTTTATAATGTTTCACTAATTGATTGATTTTAAGGTTTCAAATACATGATAATACACTGTATTTAGTATGATAATTCGATTGTGTTTTTTTTATGCATGTATTACTTGCTTTACGTGATTTA